GGAGCCCCAGGCATGGGCCCCAAAGGTTGGATTTCACAGGCAGGAAGAGGGCTTTCGTGGTATGGACACACCGTGGTCTGGAAAGAAGCAGAGGCCAGCAGTAACGCGGTAGACTTATTTATCCTTGCTGTCTGCCAGTTACTATTCTGAACCTCTCCATGGACTAGCTCACTTATCCTCTCAGTCACCCGGGGAAGTCAGTCTTATTAGGACTGGTATTATTGCCATTTTACAAATAAACAAACCAAGGCACAGGGAGGTTAAGTGTCTTGCCCTCAGTCCTGTAGGCAGTATGTGGTAGAACTCAACCAGGCATTGTGGCTTCACACAGTACAAGGCAATGAATACAGAGAGGTAGCCCACATCAAACTCACTGCTGACTCACGGCAACCCTACAGGACAGGGTAGAACTGCCCCTATGAGTTTCTGAGATTAACTTTTTACGGGTGTTGAAAGCCTCGTCTTTCTCCCTCGGAGCGGCTGGTGGTTTCGAACTGCTGACTTTGTGGATCGCAGCCCAACACATTACCACTATGCCACCAGGGTAAGGAGGGCCTTAAATGCCGGGCTTGGAGGTCCAGTTTGGGCTTCATCTTCTTGGCCATGGGAGCTGAGGGAGGACTTGGGGGGTGATCCCTGAGGCTGGTTTGCTCAGGAGAGCTGAGTGTGGCCACCCCTCTCTCTTCCAGAAACCATCCACAGAGCAGCCCTCGTACAGCAGCAGTCTGTGGGGCCCAGCGCTCGATGGCTACGACTGTGTGGCTGAGGGCCTGTGGCTGCCGCAACTACACGTAGGAGATTGGCTGGTCTTTGAGAACATGGGCGCCTACACCGTGGGCATGGGTTCCCTCTTTGGGGGGGCCCAAGCCTGCCGAGTCACCTATGCCATGTCCCGTGTGGCCTGGTAAGAGAGTCCTGCTGGGAACTAGGGAGGGGCTGTACGTGGCTGGGGCGGATCGGGCAGATGCACACCATGAGGGAGACCTGAGGTGGGAGACCTGCATCCATGTTCTCTGGGTTGGCAAGACTAGGCCTGTGGGTGGCACTTGGCTGTGGTCCTGGATGAGACCGGGCTTCGCTTGGGTCGCGCACAGCCCAGTGAGCAGCCCTGGAGGCACGCACTCATGATAGTACTGTGTGCCCTGGGCTGGGAGAGCCAGCACCCTCCCTGAGGCTCAGCCCTGCCTCTAGAGGAGACGCCTGAGAGGTGAGGGAGAAGTAGTCAGCGGCTGCAGGCCCATGGGGGAGGCGTGGGGGGTGTCCAGGCAGAAGGAGCAGGGAGGAAGCACTGTGCCTTCGAGGAACTGACAGAGGCTG